GTGGGATTACTCTCTCTTCACTCTCTTCTTCTTCTCTCTATTTTGGTGTGCATATAGGCTTGAATGCATTGCCTATTTATAGGCAAGAGTGAGGGTATAATGGTCATAAATTTAGGAGGAATATATGCCTAACAACTCATCCTCCACTCATACTTCACCAATTACAACTCATCTCCCACTCAAATCCCATCAATTATGCCACCTAATTAAATGGCTTTACACTAATCTCAAATTATAACATTTTAATTACTCTAAAGCAGCTCACCGTAACAAAATTAAATTATAATGGCATTTTATCAAGTCTTTAATGGCATGTTTCTTTATTCTTATTACAATTGTTATAATAACTATGTATCTGTAATGACAGTTTACTCAAACGATCGGTATCGCTAACGAACAATTGCTACTAAAATCCCATTTGATAGTAGTGGTTGATTGAAAACATGCTATCAGAATCTACCCTAACATTGATTCTATTTGATTGATCAGGGAATTTGTATCTGAAGAGTGATGTGTATAGTTTTGGAGTTGTTTTGTTGGAGATGCTAACAGGCTTACGAGCATTTGATAAAAGCCGTCCGAGACAGCAAATAAATTTAGTGAACTGGGGTAGACCATTTCTATCAAATAGAAGAAAGGTGAGGGATTTGATGGACACCAGGTTGGAGGGAAAATACGCAGTAAAACAAGTTTTACAAATAGCTCCACTCGCTGCTAGATGTCTTCAGTCCGATCCCCGTTTCCGCCCGTCAATGAAAGAAGTTGCCGAGACCTTGGAACAGATTGATGCTCGATATAACAGCACTAAGGATGAACCAGAAGCCTTGTCGACATGATGGCTAGTTTCCTTTATGCGTTACTCTTTGCCTGTAATGAGCTGTAGTTCAACTCATATCAATGTCCTCCTTGACCGAGTTGGGAGTTTGATAATATTCAATTGAAAAGTTATTAAAATAATTTAATTTTAGATCTTTTTTATTTTTTATGTGAACCGTATCTTCAAAGAGAGAAGGTTATAACCTCTGCTTTGTAAAAATAAATAAATAAAGAGTTTAAGTAGAATTAGTGGAGGCACAACCAGAAAAGGAGAATAAGATTGGAAAAGGATAGGACTAACAAAGAGTTAAACTATCGACATTTGATTTTTAAGTAGTGAAATGGTTTTTTTACTTTTCAAAAAAACCTTGACATTTTTCTTTTCTTAAAAGCTTGTGATTATTTTAGACAAGGGGATTAAAGCATATTACATATTTCAAAAGTTGAGGTGATTCCAAGCAAGTGCGCCTCACTTACCTCGAATAAAGCATACACGCCTAGAAACATCCTGACGACAACCATAACATTAATTTAATCTTAATATCCAAGGCAATGCTTGAATAAAGACGTAATTATATATGTAGTCAATGGAAGAAGCCCTGAAAAAATCATGTCATTGCAGAAAACGTAGTCTCCACGTAAGTCTAAACAAACTCTGTTCTCTAGACCTTCTCTGTTTCTCTCTAATACTGCAGGTCATCACTGATTCTTGCGAAGACGGATGGGGATTCACTGGAATTGTCTTGCAGCTGATACTTTAAGTCAAACTTCCGTTGCTGCCCCAGTTCCAGACCTAGACTCGGACTTGGACTCGGACTCCCCTCGTGATTCCATCTTAAAACTGGTTAATGGTTAGTTTATCATCGTATATAGATTAATTCATGTTCTTCCTTTTGTGCTTCCTTAACTTAGTACTTGCACCTGGCCTTGTTCATTTTGTTCGTGTTTTGAGAGATATCTCATTTCACTCTTTCTTTTTTTCTTTACATATTAATTCATAGATTTAACACTGCCTCAGGATATGCAGAGTCCCTAACGCAACCTGAACCGCATAGATTAGGAATCAAAGAGAATAGGAAGATAAAATTTGCCAAAAGGGCTAGATAGACCTTAGCCACTCTGTTTATTATCAATCAAAATATAATCTGCCGAAATCTCCTCTATAAAAGAGGTCCACAATAGCTTAAATAAGTCAATCTTCGACCTCAGCCAGAAAGGAAAAAAGAATCCTAGACATATAGGAAAATTAAAAGTCAAAATAAAAAATTAATTAGGAAAAAAACACAAACTAAAAAAAAAAAAAGCATCTTCAAGGCCTAATTTGAAGGTCTTCCTGACCTTGGCTGATTATAGCAAGCCGACTCACACTAGAATAGAGCATGTGGAATCTCCTGAAAAAATTTGAGGATAATGATCAAAAGTTATGCTCATTTCCATCAAATAGGTTGTTTAGTGCTACTTAGATCTCGTCTTGAACTTGAACTTGTTCGTCTCATCCATAAATGTGTTTGTTAAGCTTTAATTGTAATAGATTCTGACTGTTGAGATCCTCCTGCATCAGTCCCCTACCCAATTGAATGCTGGGATTCATATATAATTCTATGCCAATAAGTTTTTGAATAATCTAAGTCTAAGAGCAAGTCCATTTTTATCTCTGCACAAGGCCTCAAATCCTATCTCATAGAATTTGCACTTGTAATCAGTTGATGCATCTCCTGTGGATTCCGCTGAATACAGCTGCTGTTTCACAATGGTAACTGCCTGTATTTCAACATGGATGTCTAATGCACCTATTTCGGGTGACAACAACGTAATACTTGGTGCATTAGACAATTCAAAGTTGAGAGATTTCACATATGAAGAGTTGAGGGCGGCGACCTTCAACTTTAGTATGAATCTGCTGATTGGAAGGGGAGGTTTTGGCAATGTCTACAAGGGTTGGCTCAAGGAGCAGAGGCCACCTAAGGGTGCTAGGAACCGACTAATTGCTGTCAAAAGATTTTCTGGAGACACCCAGCAAGGATATCTAGAATTTACGGTTTGTTTGTTTTTATTGACCTTATAATTCACTCTTCAATTATATACGAATCCATTAACTAGTATGATGTCCGGCAGAATGATTGATTTTCCCTGTATAAACTGAATCTATGCAGTAAATTTCCCTTGAAGTGCTTACGGTAGTCAGGTAACAAACCGTTTGTGCTCTTACTTGCCATCATTTATTGGTACAGACAGAGATCAGTTTCCTGGAAATGGTGTCTCATCCGAACATTGTGAAGCTTTTGGGTTTTTGTCGTGCAAATGAAGAGAAGATCCTTGTCTATGAATACATGCAAAAACGCAGCTTAGACTACCATTTATTTTCCAGTAAGGAAAAAAATCTTATTATTCTCAATTTGGAGTTGTATACCACAATATCAATCTCAACATTGTACAACCTTATTTTTGTTCCTAACACACATGTTTTTCTTGTTACAGAGAAACCAGAACGAGTACTTTCATGGGAAATTAGGCTTAAAATCGCGATAGAAATTGCTGAAGGACTGTCTTACTTGCACTCATTAGAGCATCCAGTAATTCTCAAAGATATAAAGCCCTCAAATATACTACTTGATAAGGTACATTCTGTATGATTTTTCAGATAGTATGCAGTAACATATAGAAAGGTCACCCAGTTCAGACACTCTTGATGTATCTTTTCAGTGAGATTACTTCTACTGACCATGTTTGCATAACAAAATTTTACATTTCTGCTAGTGCTTCTGTTTGCTTGCCAGTGTCAACATCACTGCATATTCACCTGATTGTTTCTCTGTGTACATTTATCATATCTCCCTGCATCTATTTTCTGCTATTGTCTTGCTTTTGTTTTCCTCCTTTACCTAGTGTTCATGGTTGAGTCATTTATTTCCACTGATGCTTCATGACTTTTCTATCAATTTTGGCAATCTGAAGAACTGTTAATGCTGTAAGCATCAATTTATTGGTACAATTATTCATGACTCAGCAATTGAAAAGAAACTGTTGGATTATCTTTCCAAAATGGAAATATACGCTACCTAACCCCAACGTTTCTTTAGTCCTATACTGCAAAGATATCAGACTTTGGACTGGCAATCACAGCACCTGCACCCTCGAGAGATCATGATGAATATATACAAGACAGTAGAATTGCTGGCACATAAGGTTATATGGATCCTCTTTATGTTTTATATGGTAATTTCTTGTACCTTGTATACTTGTAAGATTTTGTTTTTTTTTTTTTAGATAAAAAGCAACAACAGGGCAAAAGCACCGAACAAAATTCAGTAATCAGTACATTTATACGAAGAGAATACAGAACAAAAAAGGCATTAACAATGAAACTGTCAATTAATGCATAGACTTTAATTAACGATATTTTTATGGTTGGATTTTGTTCTGGGCAAAGCTCCTGTAGTTGCCAATTTGTTTCGATGTTCTTAACTTGTTAATTATTAACTTCTGCTAACTGCTAAGCTTTGTCATGACATTGATTTTATCGAATTGGTTTGGTTAGGGAAGTTGTGTGTGAAGAGCGATGTGTATGGCTTTGGTGTTGTTTTGGTTGAGCTGCTAACTGGTTCAAGATCAACAAAAATTGTGGTTAATGCTTCCATAGAGGAATGGGCCGAGACATATCTAAATAATAGATTCAGGTTGAGAGGCATAATGGACTCCAGATTGGAGGGGAAGTATGTTACTGGGCAGGCTTCAGAAATAGCAATGCTTGCTCTGAGATGCCTCGTTCGTAACCCCAAATTCCGCCCATCAATGAAAGAAGTTGCCGAGACACTAGAGAATATCAAAACTCGTGCTTATAACCAGAAACATCTTGTCATGGTATGTATCGCGTACCTGCTTGGGCTTCCCTATTTGATATTTTTTAAAACATTACATGTACAAATACGAACTTTCAAATAAAAATGATAGCCAGCATTATTTTCCGATTTTAATTTCACTTTCTATGGATCTTAATTTGAAGTGTGGGAAGTGCCATAAAGCTGGACACTACACCAGGTCTTGTGACAAGATCAGTCATGTTGGAGGGAATTCAAAGCTTCCAAATGCAAGTGAAGCAATAACAGAGAAGAGGACTTCTTCCACACAATCAACCGTCCAACAAGACAGCGAAAGGAGTGAGGCCAGTGGTGTTGCAACAAAGACACCTCGAACAACTCCCAGTAATGATGTGCTTCGAAAAATAACTTGAATTTGATCGATTCTATTCATTTGATTACTTCAAATTAACTTTGTGTGACCATTGGTCTTATTGGAGGCAATTCAAACCTACTAGATGCAAGTAATGCAACGAGCAATGAGAAGACTTCAGCAATTCAATCACCTCATCCCCAGCAAGGAAGCAACAGGGACGAGGCAGATCGCGTTGGTACCAGCAAACCTAGGAACAATCATCTTATAAGAAAAACAACTGCCGGTAAGTAGTGCTATGTTTTGAAAGATAACTTCCCTTGAATTGTATTTAAGTAGTTTTATTTGACATCATGTAAAAATGGTCAGTCGGAGGTAATTCGAAGGTACTTGAATCAAGAAATACAACAAAAAAGGAGAAGACGACTTCTTTTAGATTGACTGTCCAACAAGGTAATACAAGAAAGGAGGCAAATGGTGTCGCTACCAGCCCATCTTGTAACAATGGTCCTAAAACCAAAATTCCCAGTAAGTTCTCTATTTTGAAAAGTAAAAACTGCAATTAAATCTCCTCAACTTAATAGTTTAAACTGAGATCTCTGTAACAATGATCTTGATCGATGGAGGCAATTCAAAGCTACTAAATGCAACTGATGCTATGAAAAAGGAGAAGATTTCTACAACCAAATCAATTGTCAAAGAAGATAAAAAGAGAAATGAGTCAAACGGGGTTGGTACTAGCACACCTCGTAGCAAAGGTCCTGGAAAAACAACTAAAAGTAAGTGGAATATATTGAAAATTAACTGCAATGGAATTGTATTCTCAGTATTTTTTTTTAATGCAATAACTTTGTGGTTCTTGAAGAGTAATAATATATAAACTATTTTTTTAAAATTTTTAAATTTTAAATTTTAAATTAAAATAATTTTATGATATGATATTAGACATTAATAATGAAGAGGGTTATAACTTTGAAAATCTTACAAATTTTATTTTTTAATAAAATTAAACAATCATGATGAATTTATCGTAGAAAGTAATATGTAATCATTTTTAGTATCTCAAAATTTCAACGAGAAATTCTCTTATGTGCCTAAGATGCTCATAGCTTTAATTAAGGTGATTTTGGTTATAAAATGGGAATTGTGTGATATTTTCTCCAACGAGCAGCGGTTTTTGTAAAATTTTAAATGTTTTGATGTCACAATTTGAATCCCAGGGCTGTGACCAGTAACGTAGGAATAATGTTGAAAGGATACTTCACTTACGCTAAGCCTCAAAGCAGACATATTAAAAGAATAAATTATTCAAAAATACATAACATTTTATAATTTTCAGAAATATTATGTTATTCAAAACTGATGAACCTAAAAGATAGTTCAAAACTCTTTATCAGTAATTAAAACAAAAATAATAATTCATAATACTCATTACATTAGCAAAATCCAAACTTAATTAAAACAGAGTAATAGTGGAGCGTCTAAGATATCGAATCAAAACTAAAAGGAAAGCCTCACAAAATAAGCAAGGCATACCAACCAAAACTGAAGAAGCAGGAACACTCAACAAAATCCACCTGCTAACAGAAACTAAGAACCTGAAATAATATTAAAAATGAAGGGTGAGTTCAACCAAGTCAGTGAGGAAATAATATTTAATATACATTTTATATATTTTAGATATTAATAGTTTACAAGATGATTTATATTGATATACATATACATATAGATACTAATCATATTATTATAACGTAGTGGAATACATGTCAAAGATCAGATGACATCCAAAGATGACCAGATGACACCCGAAGGTGACCACTGTGAGATGATCAGTCACTACAGGCTGATGTCTCTCTCATCAGTTAGGTATACAGAATACTATGTCCACATAGGCTAACTACTCTCCATTAGCATGGAGTTACTGACAAGTCCTATATCAAGGCATAATAGATATTCAAAGAATCATCAACGAAATGTATATCATATCGAATAGAATTTAGTTTGACAGATTGCGAGTACAAATTCAAGATTAGATGAATACTTGGAAAATAAAGCAATATATATAAATATTCAAGAGATTAACAAATTGTACTCATCATATAATCAACATATATATTTATTTATATTATATTCATATTAAAGATTATCCCACTTTCCCGGAAGAATATAGAATTAAAAGGAATGTTAGATGACAGACCCGAAAATCCTATTGAGGATCATTAGGAGAACCTACAACAATATATGAAATATACTCAACAACAACTCAAACAAAAGATCCCAATGTATAAAATGAAACCAGGTTTAGTCTCCTAAGTTTATGGACTAAAACGACAATTTTTCAAAGTAGGGACCAAAACATAATTTTACCAAAATTGGAGGACCAATCTAGAATTACATAACCATACTGAATTTTCACTCATAAACCATCCTAAATTCTGTCTAGAATGAACCAGGGACTGAATTGAAATTTTCATAAAGTTCAGGGACTAAAATGTAAATTCCCAAAATTAAGGGACCAAAATGAAAATATTTCATATCAATTATCAAACTGAAATTCATCATCCTAAATCTCAAAATTACATTGTCTAGAATCTCAAAATACATTTAGGGCTCAAATTAAAAATTTTTCAAAGTTTAGGGACTAAATTATAATTTTCATAAATCAACGACCAAAATAAAATTTGGTCATCTTCAACCTCAAGACCATTCTATCCAGATTTTACAGCAAGGTAAAATTAAATTTCTTAACCCATAAAAATTAATTTAAACCAATCAACTCATAAATCATTATTTTCAACAACATACTAATTAATCACCTAACATCAAATCCTTAATAATCATAAATCAATCTTAATAATATAAACTTCCAATCCTTATAAACCCTAATCTCTTTTGTTTTGTTTTTAATCATTCCATAAACAAACTATAATCAAAAGTAATATGAAAGAGAATCACTTATTTGCTACTTCCATCTTTCTTGAACCAAAAACTCAAAATCAAAAATTAAACTCTTTGGTTTGAGGAGGGGAGGGTCACGGCGGTTATAAGAATTAGAAGAGAGGAAAAAAATTCTTTTATAACTCTTCCTTAAATACCTAAGTTAATTTAAGTTGGATTTGAACTGATTTGGGCTTAGGTTTGGGCTAGCAGTTTGGGCGTGGTATTTTAGAAAATTTATTTCAATTTATCTTTAATATTATTATTTTAAATTGGCGTCTTTTCTTGCGATATTTTTCAGTTTTAGGCAAGTCGAAGCTACCCAATGCGAGTAACGTAGCAGGGAAAGTGAAATCTTCTGTCCAACAAGTAAACAAAAGGAACGTGCCAGCCGATGGTGTTATCTGCATAAAATAAACCCAAAGAAGAACGTATATCACAATGGTAAGCCATTGTTGTCTTCTGCTAGCTTGCCGCGACTGATTCTTCTTCGGCTCTTGTTGTTGTCATCTTTTGCCTTGTTTATTTTTATTTTTATATTTTAAAAGTATTTTAAAAAATATTATTTTTTATTTTTTATTTTGAATTAATATTTTTTCAATATTTTCAGATTATTTTTATATACAGATATCAAAAATAACTTTTTTAAAAATAAAATTTATTATTTTGATATATTTATAAAATATTTTGAAAAACATTCCTAACAATATTTTCATATTTTCAGACAGGCTTTTCATGCAATGTGCCTATTCTGATTAGCATTGTGTTGTTTAACTTACTTTCCAATTAACATGATGGTTAAAAGAGTTTCAAATGATTTTCTCTGAGGATTTACTCCTAGTAATGATGCATTGTTAAATGATAATGATGAGTTCATATTATCTTGAACAGTGTCCAAACGAAAAGCAAGTGGACTGTGCGTTTCACAAAGCTTGAAATTAGATGATGCAAAATCTCGACATCATGCTGGCCGGGATGACCTCTCTTAATTTTTCTTCATCTAGTTAGTCTGTTTTTTAAAAAAAAACAGTCATATATAAGTCTATCTTCATTCCCAATGGGACAGCCCAACCATTAAAACTTGTATTATTAGTCTACTTGAAAAAAAAAAAACTAATTACAATCATTTAAATAAGTTTAAAATCGAACTTACAAGGAAGTGAAATCAGAATTTGTAAACAGAAATAAAATATGAAATTAAGGTTAAAAATCTAAGATCAAAGAGGAAAATAATGAAATTAAATTAAGCAGAGTCTTTTTGAAATGACTTCTTGATGCGAGAAAAAAAAAAAACTAATTACAATCATTTAAATAAGTTTAAAATCGAACTTACAAGGAAGTGAAATCAGAATTTCTAAACAGAAATAAAATATGAAATTAAGGTTAAAAATCTAAGATCAAAGAGGAAAATAATGAAAGTAAATTAATTAAGCAGTCTTTTTGAAATGACTTCTTGATGCGAGCCTGCGAGCCCGAATCTCTCGGCAAAATTTAAGTGCAGTTCAATGATTGTATTGAAAGTGATCTCTATGTAGAGCTTGGACCTAGCCCCCTAAGATCCACTGTTCAGAACCCCTAGATGACACATTTAACTGGCTTTAAATTTGTTCTCGAAATCAGATGCTTCGTTTTCTCTGGGTACTATTGCCTCTGTTAACAGATGGTTCTGTATGGCAACCACAAGTTCTTCAGCATAGTTATATCTCTAGCAAGTGGTGTATTTGCAGCTATGCAGGGAAACAAGGTCACCAAGGACAGAGAATTCCCTGTTTCACCAGATGAAGAGGAACCTTGAGAGCATCAGGTTTCTTACCGAAAGATGCATCAGCCTTCAAATTGCTTATGTCTATCAAGCATTTGTCTTTCTCTGGATCAATTAGGAGCTTGTACTTGCGTCCTTGTATTCCCCTGCTATCCACTGCATTTCTTTTTCTATTTCTTTTTTTTTATCAAAATGCAAATCCAGAGGTAAGATAAACGCTCTTAGTTATTAGCAAGAAAAGGAAGAAAGCTAGGCCTAATTTTCGTTCAATGTGCTGAGGGCCTTTTACTTGTTGAGGTCTGATATTGCTTGGAGCAAGTTCAGAATAGGGCAACAAATGGAACACCATGCAGGATTCTATAATGTTTTGTATTAAAGAGTAGAAAAAGGTAATAAAGTACTTAAAGGCTTAAAGAGAAAGCATGATTAAATGAGAAGTATAATAAAAATTAACTAAAAAAATGATAAATATAAATAGAAAATGAAAAAAAAAACAAAAAAGAAGAGATCTGAACATTTTAAGAGAGAACCCGCATGAGTGAAGTGAGAAAGAAGAAGAAGAAGAGAAAAAAGAGAAATTAGAAGAGAAATAGAAAAGAGTTAAACAAAATAAGTTTAAAAGTAAGATTGTGTAAATATGTGTTAATTAAGTTTTAATTTTAGTTTTGATAAATGTTAGTATTTTGAAAATTTATGTTTGGGTTTAATTGATGAATTAAATTAAATGTTATAGAGTTAATTGTTGTGGGTAATTAATTATTTACTTGATTATGAAAGATTGTGATGATTTTAAGTTATAAATTGTGTAAATGGTGAATTTTGAGTTAGAAATTTAGAAAGAACAGTAGGTTTCTGTTGAAATTCTGGGTTGGAGGTTGAAGATGATGAAAATTCAATTTGGTCCCTCAATTTTGAAAAATTACATTTTAGTCCCCACAATTTGGAAATTACATATTGATCCCTGGAGCATATTCTGAGATTCTTAACAGAATAACATGTGAATTATGGGCAAAATTACTGTATAGTTATGAAATTTTAACACTTTTAATTTAGTTCTTCAATTTGACAAAAATTACCATTCGACCCTAAAATTTTGGTAAAATTCAGAATGGTCCCTGGAGTATAATGAGATATTATGGACACAATTGAGGATTAATTATGGTCATAATTTCAGCATGTTCATGGATTCATGATAAATTTTAGTTTGGTCCTCCATTTGACAAAAAATATAATTTGACCCTAAAAATTTTTGGAAAATTTCCATAATGGTCCCTGGAGCATAATTAGAGAGTCTGGACAGAAATGAGGATGAATTATGAACATAATTTCACTATAGTCATGAATTTAGGATATGTTTAGTTTGGTCCTCCAATTAGATGAAAATTACAATTTGACTCTAAAAATATGATAAATTTCATATTAGTCCCTAGCTGTGATGTTATCTTTTTCAGATTGGTTTGATGAATAATTTAGGTTTATTTAGTAAATTATTATGAATTTTTTTTTATTATTATGGATTAGATTTCGGGAGAACCGTTAATTTTTTGGTTTTTAGAAAAATAACTAGTTTAGTCTAAAAACATATAGGATTACAAAATATACCCTTAGTTAAGTGTATTAAATAGATTATATGTTCTTTCGAATCATTCTTGAATATGTCTCCTTTGTATTCAGATAATCCTGATATTCTACCGGCAGGATGTCAGTAGGATTTCCTTCGGTATCTGCTTTTGATTTCTATTTGCTTTAGAGTCAGGTCAGTGGATAATTTTTCATATGCATGAGAAATATTATAAATATT